TACCTTCGGTCTGTGTCGGGTTGTCGGTCTGAACAGTAAATGGAGAAACACGTGCTAAATAAATCGAGAGGGTTCGTCGGGTCGCAATGTGGCATCCTCCTATTGGATTTTGGATGTATAGATGCGTCCGGTGGCTGAACCCAATAATTTCCCCTTCAAGCGCGACTCATGATTGGAGGGTGTACATTGAGTACAAAACGTAAGAAATATAGTGTTTAGTCAATACCATTGGATCCAAATCTAACCATCTTCATTTCGTCTTCTTCCTCAGATATCGAGATTCTTATCAGCTAGGTCTCTTTGCATAAGGAACGAAACCAGCACAGCAAGCAATTAGAACGTTCATTGGAAGGAGTGCTTTTCGAGCGGTGGATAAATTACAAAAAAATGAGAGATGTGTGTAGCCCTTGATAAGGAATGAGGATGATCTTATAGAGTTGAAATGTTACCTGCTAAACATTAAAATGTGTTTGATTTGGGCAGCTGTCTTATTGCTTTCTAAAATAAAATTTTAATTAAAAATTTTAGTACTAAAAAATTACTTCATAAAGTAGTAAAAAATCATCTTTTTAATTTAAGAAATTTATTTAATAATTCTATTAGCAATTATAAATTATAAACTAATATTTTTATTTTTTTATAACCCACAAAAAATTTGCTTAAAATTGCAGGTGATGAGGCTTACCACTATAACAAAATATTTGCCTATTGTTATTAAAATATTTATTTATCAGATATTGGCTGGATCATCTGCAATTTTTTTTTACTTTTTCTTAAATGCAATCTATAACATTTTGTGTTTTCTTTAGAAAATATTAAAAACTCAAAATATTTTTATTTTTTTACTTTAAAAAATACAAAATATTATGATGATGATAATGTCATTAGTAATTTTAATTGTTATGATGTTCATATATTACTCAATATTAGAGGTGTCAAATTGAGTTTATGTAACGACTCAAAATCTATTTGGAATAATTAATATTTATAACCAAATAAATATTTATATATTTACACATGGCCACTAAATAATAATAAATATAATAACATCATATTTTATTCCATTCACAATAGTTTATATTATAATTATGATGTTACAAAACTTTCCCATAAACAAACTCTCAACATGAACCAGAAATTGAAATAAACTACAAAAACATCACTTCATTTTTACTTCTATAGTCTCAAGTTGCATGTTCCTTAAGATCATTTAAATCACGTAATGGGCGCATAGCTCAATAAATAATTAAGATTTTACAATTGAAATTAATGCAAGAAGATGCAAAATAATATACTATAAATCATATAAGGAAATCTATGCATCAATATATTTGTGAATTATGTATACTAATTGCTCATTTTATGGCATATCACATCACAGCCCATATTATCAATAACAATGATCCATATCATAAAGAACAACAACACTATCTGTAATAAACAAACTTAGTACAATGTAAGTTATAATATAAATAATAATAATGAGTAATCATTCATTAACCAGTATTCTATTGTTAATGTTCATATA